CCCCTCTCAAATAAGCCCCCCTCTCTAATAAGGCCCCCTTTTTCCGAGGAAGAAAGTTATTAAGCCCTCCCTCTCTTTGAAGCCCCCCTCCCCTCCCCCCTTGCCCCACACAATCAAGTTAATAAATGATAAACTGCATTTGCAATGTAATCATGACTGTAACGCTTCATACGGACTGATCCAGTATTGTCTAGTCACGTGCTGAAAGTTCGAATTTGTTTTTGATCTTCGGTTGCATGACCTCCAACTTCATGTGCTTGAACTTTTCCATTTTGCGTTCTAGTTCTTTAAGGAGATTTGATACCATCCTCTGGCTGGAATTAAATACACCCCCCTCTCAAATAAGCCCCCCTCTCTCATAAGCCCCCCTCAAAAGTGCCTAAAATAAATAAGCCCCCTTAATAGAGGATTTTTAAATCTAGACCAGCCTAGTCGACAGCGTTGATCGAAGTACGTGTATTCGATTACAGGGTCCATAAGCCTGTGACATGGTTCCATATCGAATCAAAATTCGTTTGTTCAACTCAGCAAAATAGTGAGGCTGTAAAGAGAAAAGTTGTTTCCGCTAGATTTGCAGACCACAGCCAAGAAGTTCAATGGCTACATGTAAAATGAATGTGGAATGTAGAGAGCCATTTATACTTCCAATTTTTTGATATTTTATACCGCCTTCGTAATTTCTAGTTTTGCATGATTTCTTTATCACGTTGCAAAAAAGAATTCAAAAACTTTCTGTCTAGGCCATCTCAAGTTTAACGACTTTCTTTAACTAGACCAAATCATTCCTATAAGCATTATCTGTAAAGCCAGTAAGGTTAACCCATAAAATTTCTCCTTCTTTACCAGGATAATTAAGTCATGAAACGACCTACGACTTATAATCACTTATTGTTCGCAAGCATGCAGTTTACCTGCTTTCAAGAACGAACTCGCAGTTCCCCTGGTATTTAAATCATTTTCATTTTGCAAATGCCTGCATACAATGCAGGGTGCCTATTTTTTTATTTATTGTTGTCGCTGATTATCAATTTGTCGTTGCTTTGATTTAACTCTTTAATCTTGTTGCATCTATTCATCTGTATCCTTAAGAAACCTTTATTGTGTTTCTCTTGCATTATTGTATTGTAATTGTATAATGACGATGGTGACGTTTTCTCCTCTTCTTTAAACAATAAGCCTTTCTTCATATTTGACCTTGCAAAATGATTCTTTGTAAAGAAAATTGAAAACATTAGATTTGTAAATTATACATTTATTCAGTTACCCATGATCCAACACTTTGTAATAAACTTAGTTTTAAATACAATTTAGCAATATGACAAATTCTTACTGTAAGCACTTATTTAATTCTTTTCCAAATTTATGTAACGTTTGATATGTACTGTATCGAATATATAAAGACATTATTATTATCATTATTATTATTATTACTAATATTATTATTATGGTTATTATCATTATTGTTATCATTATTGTTATCATCATCTGTCTTGTCGTCATGCTGCATCTCAATATTTACGTAATTTCTTACCTTGGGTAGCCAGAGGTAAGACCATGAGAACGAAAAACAGAACGGATTGAACCATATTTTCTTCTGTGATATAAAGAAAAAGGAACGATCTTAACAATCTGAAAATGTATATTGTACCAACATTGACTAAAAGCAATATTTGTAGAACACTTAGCCAGGGTCTCTTTAATACATGATGTTTTGAACTTTAACGTACGAGAAAACACCTTATTAAAGTCACAACTGATAAGAAACTCTATCATTTTTGAAACAGTCCCATTTGGTCATGAATATGGAATTTCGTACGTAACCGGGTGCCCACATTGTCAATCATGCTAAACTCGGTAAGCACCTCATACTAAGAGAGTCACGGAAAGTTAACCGCGATACTCTCTCCAGTAATTCGTAATAATAAGTAAAGGTTGAAATTCCAAGATTCATTGTTATCTGAACTAATTCATTTTACTGCTCATCGTTCCCTTTAGTCACGTTGCATTTCAGGTATCCAGAGACCGACTGGATAAATGGCATGTAATCTGATAAAAAATACTTCAGAAACCCTTACTCTCAAGCTTGTTTCCAGACAAAGGAAGATCCTCGCTAAAAGCTAAGCATATCCAAGACGAGCGTGTCAGAATGAAAAGAATTCTTCCTAATGAGGAATACCACTTTACAAAGCGATAGGTTGATCACCTCACCAAAGTCTTGCCACGAGGACCCTCAAATGATTCACCATTCAATTCACGATAACTCTTTCTGATTATAAGCCTACTTGCTGTGTAATTTATTTGTGTCGTTACGTTTGACCTGAGGCTTTTTATGTTCATTTGCATTTGCATTTAAAAAGTGTTTCGTTTGCCCCCTGTATCCCAAAAAATAAGCGCATAAAGAAACTTTTTTGTGAACTTTGAATGATTCTGTATAAAATGGAATCTCATACGAGCTGCAAATTAATTTGTTTGCCACATCTCAGAGAGGAGAATTTTTTCGTTGATTAGAAGATACTAACTCTGAGATCGATGTAATTCGTTAATGAAACGGACTTAAAAACACCGCTTGTAAAGTGCTTTCTCGAGCAACGCTTTACCTTTACTCCACCAGTACCTTTTTTTGTTAAATCAGAGGAGGTCTGTGTGTAACCAGGTGAAGCATTCAAATGAAGCAAATGTTCTTTAAAAAGCAGTTAAGTGATTGACGATCTCTCGTGAGTTCAGTTTGAATATTTAACCAAAGTTATGATTTAACCAGCGGTGGCGGGCATGATTTTTCACTCGGGTGGAGTTTAACCATAATATTTAATCGGTGAGAGCTCCCTTATGTTCCACGCGTAGCTCGAATTTTTAGTTAAGAATACACCTGGTTGGATTGGTAATATTTTCGAATGAGCTCGCCTGACGTATTGGTTTTGCATGTAGTTGTCATCTAGTGATAAGTGGTCTTTGACGACGAGAATGTTTTCAAATTACTGTTGCTTAGTCAAAATTTAAAAAAGGACGACTTCGTATTTTGAATGTTCGTGAAGCAAATTAGCACGGCGATCATTCCGCGCGCAGCTAAACCGATATTGACCGAGACAAAACAAAATTGGGGGATCCCAAAGGCATTCATGTGGTGGAAATTTTACCTTATCGTGGAAAACTAATTAGAAGCATTCTTCGAAAGTTGTTGGCCTAATGCAATGATCCCACGAATAATTATTCTTCTCAGCAAATCTGATGTATGCGTGACGATTGCCTGCCTTATTTCATTTCAATTTTAAAAAACCATAAGATTACTCCAAAGACAGAGTTAGCGAATGGGATACTTCAGCCTCATGTAGAACATTTATGTTAGAATGAAAGTAAGGAGTGATGTAATCGTGATGATAACACTAACTAGAAAGAACACCTTACAAGACGTGTTGAAAAAGAAGTGAAGGTTGCTCAAAGATGGGGGATTCAACGTATTGACAAAAAATAACATGCAGTGATCGAGCCTCTTTGTATCAGACGCGCACAGGAAGCAAGCAAGTCTCCATAACAAGAGTCTTTATTATGTTCGTGTCGGGAAGGACGTAGTACCTCCGGGACGAACACTTCAAACCCGTTAGGAAAGTTCACATTCTGAAAAATTCAGGTAATAAATAAATCTCACCCAAATATGATAGCCCGGTTTGTTAATATACAGGCAAAAAAAACCGTGACACCAAGACATATGAGGAAATCGAGCAATTTCAGTTTTAAGTGGATAAAAAACTTGTACCGGAATAATTTTAAGCAGCCTATTACCTTTTACATTTTCTAAAAGCTTAAGATATAAATAGTTGACTGAAATAACATCAAAAACAATTTTCCATGGGAACTCGAGAACATAAATTCCAAAGTTCAGAGAAATTGTACAAGCACAGGTATAATTTCATAATCAGTTTCATTTCACCAGTGATTTCAAGTGTTTCATATGAACTTCAAAATTTGTTTTAGACATTTGGTGTTGCTAGAAATAATTTGTTTCGAGAAAATATTTATAACAGTCGCTCAGAAGTTTGTAAATAATCTTGGTACAAAGTTTTTCTCCACTTGTTACACGAACTTCCCAGTGGTGGATTCCTTCTTAACTTCTTCCGTTAATAAGTCTCAACAGAAGCGTTTTCATTTTATTTCATTAGAGGCTTTTTGAGGTACTTCCGATAGTCATTTCAAAACTGTCGAGCTTGTTTAGTTTTTCAGTGTCGTTATTTGTTTAGTGGTGTTCCCTGGCTCCTAAGCCAGTTGCCTGTTTTCTGGATTTTACTGTAACTTGGAACTTCAATAACAATTGGGATGAAGGTAAACTTGTCGTGTTTAAAAGAGCGTTCTACAGTCCAGGACACGACTTGCCTTGGGATAGTTGAGACGAGTAAGACGTTACAATAAATGAACAAATACATTTTATGTCAGAGTAATTCTACTATTACCGAATGAAACAATATAGGAAAATAAATCAAGTGATGGGCAATCTCCGGTGTGTTCTGTTTGAATGTTTAACCAGCGGTGGTAGAGAGTTTTTTAACAGCTCTATGGAGTTAATAAATTTAGCCTGCAATTACAAACCGTCAGACATGCATGCAAAAGTTTCTTGCCAGATCTCGTTCTTTGCTATAGTAAACTCTAACCAACTCCTTCTAGCCAAAACGAATAAGTAAGGATTTTAAAGCTTCACACTGACAACTACCACCTGCTCGATATTGGTTATTACGATGGGTGGAACTTATCCTTTCTATTTGAAACTGAGATTTCATAAAACGTGATTGGTATACTTTTTCCATTTTGGTTTTTCTGGTCTTGTCACACAACTCTTCGCAACGTCAGTTCTCCGAGTGCCTCGTATAGGGACACTTAACGGACGTTTGTAATCATTTCTACCCTCTAAGTACCAAGGTAAAGATCTTGGAGTTCTATTGAGAACTAATGCGAGACCTATCTATGTCAATGAATTTCTTGTGCATAACATAGCGTATCCTGCTTTAAAACCTTTAAAAAGTTTCTCAGCCCTTCTTTGTTTGGTAAGCGTAAATATAAAACATTAATGTTACAATCAGTTTCAAAGGCCTATCAGGTTACTAGGCACCTACCGCCCCATTCTTTCCATTACCCATTACATTATAAAAATACTATTCCTAATAATATAAAGCTTATGTGAAGTAATCCAAGAATCATGCTTCAGTGAGGAAAATAAGATGTCCAATAATCAGCACCAAAGATGATCACAAAGGAACAAGGAAGGAAATTTCTACTTACACTTATCTGCCCAACACCCACACTTGGTAATGATCCAACTGCAAGCTAGCCTACGTTGCTCATAACTGCCAGTTTGTTTACTTTAGATTCGGTCAGCTGATTTCTTAGTATAATGGAAAAATCTGATTGGCTGCTGTCGTAGGCAATGCTCAATAAGATGATGCTGCCACTAAGTTAGTATGCGAGTTTCAAAATTGCATTTAGTCTGTGTAAATATTTCAGGAAAGCTGTTTCAATTCGATTCTCACGTCAACAAAAATATAAGTAGCAGTGGTATAAAAAGAACAATAGACCCATAATGTATGGTAATAAACTCTTCTAAATGTTTTGAATCACCTACCGCCAGACAGGCTTTGTCATGGTCATCTCTATAAAGCAACCCTGATATAACTTGAAAAATAATTTGGAAATGAGAAACTTGTTCAGTGCTGAAGCTTCTCTGAAGACTACTTAATCACCGGTTTGTTTTTCGGGGGGAGATACCATAACCTCGTTCAATAGACAACAAGCTGCTCAATGCAGTCACCACGTTGAACAGTTTGGAATACTCACAGAATTTGGTGTCTTCAACTTAACATTCATTTTTGTATTACGGAAATTGCCGGACACGTTAAAGGAAGTGTGAGATACGTGCCACCATCCCAACGCTAGTTGATCTTGACAAATGGCAACAATTTAGTCAGTGAACCCTTAACCAAATTTCAGTAAGCCGTCACAGGGTAGGAGAACTGGTAAAGGACGAACCCCGCGAAGTGGAGATCAAGAACGACCTCATAGATTCTTAACCCTAACTACGGGTGCTACGAAAAGGAATCAGACCTCACCCATAGCTAAGACCTGTCTGGTAACATCAGAAAACACCCAATTGACAAGTGCAAAAAATTTCGAAGCGATAGACTTGAGGACGTTCGCGCGAAAATTTTCCAACATTGATTTTTTTCTGAGATTTTTACCACTGTAAAATGATGAGTTAGTTATGTCAGAAATGTAAAAAAAAAAAATTGGGGATCACCGACTTCGTGTTGGAAAGAACATGCCTGGAAGAAAACCCTAAATCTGAAAAAATCGGGCTTCGCTAGTGAATAAAGCCACAGTGTCTGTAAGCTCCAAAATATTGCAATTAGATCGTTGAAGTGAAATTTTCTCAGCCAGATATTGTTTAAGTGGACCTGTTAAGTGAATTTAGTCAACTGGTGAGGTTCCTTAAAGAATACGTTCGCATTTAGCGACCATAGTTTCACGCGCCTTGCAGCCGCAAGATGGCAGGGTTCGATGTCCCGTGGACAGAAATCCTGAGTTTTTTTTTAACTTCCCACATTGATTTTTTTGTTCATTTTTGGACAATGTGGAGATGATTGTAAATGAAATCTGTTTCTGGAAAGAAAGGTAGGCGTCACCGAACGTCCAATATCGTTAAATCCAGGTAAAGCTATAGCAATGACCATGTGCCCTGTAGCGCCCGCTCGATGCATGACGTGGCATGTGAATTTGTGTGCGCAGTAAGGATGCGCAGAAACAATTAGCGCGATCGTCCTTAAATAAGTAGGCACAGTTGAGCAAGGAAAAAAAGTTGTACTTCAATTCAGTAGACCACCAATCTCGTAATTGCATGCATAAAAACGCCATCTTTGGACAGGGCACCACCCGACTCGTTTTTGAATGCCACAGCACCCGTACTTGT